ATACCCATGTACATATGTGTTTATATATTTGTGAATTTTGATTTCCATAATACTTATATGGTCAAATCTAAGAAACAGGTACACTTCCAAAACAAAAAGTTTAATTCTTTAGTTTGTGGGCACACCTACGTTTTATATATGATTCTATTCGTAATCTCTTAATAATGAATAATGAATAAGCTGGGTTCTAATTACACTGTGCAAGTTTTAAATTTGCAGAAATGATTTTGAAAGCTGAACTTACTTAATTGGGACATTCTAAATTCAATGGCATCCTCCGGTTTACCAGATTGGCTTCGGTTTTCGAGATAAAGGTTAAACAAACACAGTTGTATACACTGTGTTTCAATGTTCATAAATGCCTTTATTACTTCCGATAATTTATTCACAGAATCTGGAATTGTATACCTGCCTGGTAAAATATCGTCTACATAAGTGTCTCGCTGAAGCACTTGTTCAGCGAGTGGGAACCTGTTGCGTGAATCCTTAGCCAATTGTTGAAGGGTTCTAATGGCTAGAAATGGAGCGCAGTTTACTCCAAATGTAACCGTTTCCAGCCTAAAGTCTTGAATTCTTGAGTTGGTCATCTTGATGAACACGGATTTGTCGGCACATCTTCTCTATATCTCCATTATAAACGAATTGATATAATTGCCACCGTAATATCAGGGACATTAGATCGGATTGAAGAGCGGGACCAACGTGCAGGATATCGTTGAGGGAATACCCAGAGCTATTATTCCTAGAGCCGTTAAAACCAACGCGCACCTTTGTAGTTGTTTTATTAGGTCCGACTACAGCATGATGTGGCAAATAAAATGGGGAAATATTTGATATCGGAGGCGACTTCTTGCGAGTTGGTTGGTTCCATGGTTCCATGTGATCCATCGTAAGATATTCTTCTAAGACCTCGTCGCAAATGGCTTTGAGATTGCCTTTTCAGGCGAGATTTTTCTCCATACTGATCAACTGGCTGTAGGCATAGCTACGGGATTGGCCTAACGCATGCAAGTTTGGGAAACTTGATTTGAAGGGGAGTCTCACCATATATCTACCATCTGGCCCACTATATGTGGTCCTTTGGTAGTAGTTCTCGCATGCTATATCCTCTTCTGAGATCGGTACAGGGTGATACAGTTCTTCTTGCTCCCAGAACTGTCTTAGTTGTGTACTAGGAGTTCGTTAGAAACTTCTTCCACTTGTGTCGAGAACACTGACACTTCACAATTCATGGGTCCACTTATGATCCATCCAAATATGGTATTTTGCGCGAGCAGGCTTCCACATATGTTGCGATGTATAACACTGAGCATGATCTGAGGGATCAGATCACTGCCGATAATCATATCGATTTGGGCTTGCTGGAAATAGTTGGGGTCTGAGAAGTCCAACATGGCGAATTGATTCCAATCGGGTTTTTCAATACTGAAGGTAGGAAGAAGTCTAGTCAATTGTGGAAGGACGATTGCTTCACGGAACATATATGGCTGGAATTTTGATTCTGGAAATTTCGTATTGGGCCTTTCGGGTGGGGAGCCTTAGGCGATTTTTCACTTTCGAGGTGATGAAAGTTTTTTGTTAACCTTGGTCGATGAGAGCTCGAACCTTATGCAGTACTCCGACTTGCTCTATTAAGACGAGAGCTGTTGGAAGTAGAGTTTTTCCTTCGTTTACTGTGTGCATGGATTGCACCTGTGGTGGGTGACTGAGAATTGTTAGTCGCGTTTGTGGGTGTTTGTGATCTGTTATGGTTTCCTTGAGCTGCCGGATTTCGTGTTTGGCGGTTGGATGCTTGCGATACGGTTTTTTCCTGTTGGCTTTGATCATTGTGAGTGGTCACATGGAGTAACGAATGATGGTTTCTATGGCAAACTGCGCACGTATTTTGACTTTAGCAGTCACTTCTAAGTGGGAGAATGAGAAGCAGTTTTCGCACAGCTGATTTTATCGGACCACCTTATATCTATTACGCACAGACAACTTCTTGAATTCGAAACAAAATCTAAGGGGATGATTTCCATTGCACATAGGACAAGGGTTCGTCGTGTTGCTTTCAACATAAAAGTTTTGAGTTCTGTTGTGACTCCGATTCTGAACAAACCCGGGCCTGATTTGTTTCATGCCGTGAAGTCGCTCTACTACCTCATATCGTTTTGTAAGAAACTCGTTCATTTGCTCCCAGGTTGGGAGGTCTTTGCGAGAAATTAGGGATTATTCCCACAAAGATAACGTTTCTTGGGGTAGCTTCGACGAGCACATGTATACCAGGATTGGGTCCCAATACTCTGTCGGGACGCCTTGAGAATTTAAGACAGACAGAGAATTGTCGATGGAATTTCGAAGCGTCTGTAATGCTTCGCTGTTTTCAAAATGCACTTGGGATAGAAAAAGAAGAGTTTTAATCTGTTTGTCGACCAGGATTCTTTTGTTTTCATATCGGGACTTGAGGGAATTCCATGCAAGCATAAAGTTTTCACCACAAAGACCGTATTGTTTAACCGGTTGTTTTGTATCGGAGATGATACAATTTTTGGCCAGGGGTAAGTTTGGGGTGATTAATATAAACTGCCGTGAACATGTCACGGAAGGATGGTCACTCTTCGTAACCTCCGGAGAAAGTTGTCACAGGGTGGGACATTCAGGCACCTAATGGTATTTTCCTGCTCCTTTACCGGAAAAGGGGGTTTCTCTGCTACACGAGACGTTTCGCACATTTGGGCCATCTGCACGTCCATAAGATCCGAAATTTGGGCCATGACGTTGTGTGCCCGCTCCTTGCACAGCTCCATTTTATTCCTGGCCTAGTAGCCAGGAACGTTGGGGGTAGTTCGCCATCTGCAGCCAACGACACCTTCCGATATGCTCGCTTAACTTCCGCATAGTATTCGTCTATGTCCTCCCGGTAATATTTCAGCAAGGGCACCGTTAGTCCATCTATGGAGAGTGAAGAAAATTTGGTACAGAAATGTACCATGAATAAGTCATAATCGCGTTCCTTTTGGTTACGTGACGCCGTTACACTCGGTGTTACCTTTTTTGGTTTTCCGAGTGAATTTCTATCTCCGGAGTCTTTGGCGCATCAGTTTGCGTAAAAAACTCGACATCTAAGGAGGTCTTTTTTGGGCTTCTTTCGAGAGGCATTATAAAAGAATTGGAGTAGATTCGCGACCGAGAAATCAAACAACGGAATTTGAGGAAATAAGTGAATAGCTTTCTGCTTTATTAAACAAATTTGCCGTATGAGAAAGGGTTATCAGTGACGTGTGACAAAATTTGTTTTACAAGAAAAAACCAGAGAAAAAAAACCGTTTTGGTTTTCGTTTAGGGGCAGAAAACGGAGAGAAACTAAGAAAACAGTACCGAAACTGTACGTTAGGCACGGGATGTTTAAGGTATTACAGCAGCTAATAATAGTGCAAACGCACTTTCCCTTTACACTTTTGACGTAAAATTTGGTTTCCTTTTACTGGGTAGCTGAAAGGGGTTACTAAACTTTGCTGGGGCCGCAAAATTTAAAAAATTACCGAAAAATTCGCACAGATTGCGTTAGAACGTTAACATTTTTCCGCTTATAAATTTCCTACTGGGCAGCGTAGAACTTTGAGCAAATTTTTCCTACTGGGTGTTTTGTATACGTACAAGAGGTATAAGTGCTTATGAATATTGGCTTGCGATTCGGGACTGCAAGTTTTCCGTTTTTCACATAAGCATGTACATTATACTGCATCACCAAAAATAGTTGCGGTTTTTCCGCCGAGATTGCAAAATTTATTATATTTTAAGATGTCCACCAAAACATTTCGGAAAAATATTAAGATTTAAGCGAGCTGGACCGATTTGAAAATGCCTCCAAACATGGTATTTTTTATGAATAAAAATAGTTTCTTAAAGAACTTTTTGAAAAAAGTCCTCTCAGATGACAAAACGGATTAGGCTTAAAATATCTGCAAAAGATCAGAACCTTTGTCGAAAGCAAGTTGATTTGATACCACGCTCCAAATATTCTGACTACAAGAAGGAGCATCATTAAAAGTTTTACACACTTCTACAGAAAATTTGTTTGAAGCATTTTACAGGAGTACGTAACGTTATAATGACTAGTAGTTATAAAAAGAATTAGATCGTTTCGACGTATTTTCCAAATATGCCTTCAGTTAATATGTTTTTGGAATAAAAATTACGCTCAAGATCGCAGAATATTTTATCTTTAAACGTTGGTTTGTTCTGAAAGCACTCCTCTTGCTAAGGTATCAAATCATTCGTAATTGTTTGTAGAAGTTTTTAAAATGAAACGCTTCAAAAAGTATAAACCGAAAATTTTGAAAATTGTGAAAAGTAGAGTTACAAACTTGGAGTTACTTGCCATTTAGTTATTTTTTAAAGCACACTTTATAGTTACCTACTACATATGAAGTGTCCACATAAGTACTAATTGCCCATAAAATTTCAAACCAGTATATGGTGTGCTTCAAAAGTTATGACATAATTTACTTTTCACCTCTTAAAATTTAAACAAAAAATTCACTTGTTTTTAATATTTTTTTGAATGAAAACATCTATAACTCAAAAGTTATGCAACAAATTGATTCAAAATATTTTTAAGGCTTCAAACTTGATAAAAACATTACAAGGTAAATTCATTCATTCTCTCAATTCGTCGGCCATGATTTTTTTCTGACGTTTGCCAGCATTTTAAAATCATATAAAATTGAGAATAAAAAAATTAAATTGTTCACAATTGTTGTTGTTTGAGATTGAAAATGGGAATGTGTGTGTGAGTTTGAGTTTTGAATTTTTAAATTACATTGCTGGCAAACGTCAGATTGCCTCTCAATGGTTTTACCTTGTTATGTTTTTATCATGGCTTCAAGTATACGTCTATGAATTATATCCAAAAGCAACGAGCTTGATATAGTTTACAACAATGAAAATATAGCTAAACAACGCAAAGGTTACCTGTTTTTTAGATTTGCCCATATATTTCTATAAAGAATACGTACTTGTTTTGTAAAATTTTCAACGTATGAGCCAAATTCCATTTTTCAATGTTAAATCCACTTTTTGTCACATTCCAGCCGCCGATTTTCCACAGTAAATCAACCATTGGTTTAGCACCCAATTTCTCCATCTCTTCTTCTTTATCCAAACAAGATTCATAGTAAATTTTTGCCTTCTTTTCAGCCTCTGACTTATATTCCTTCAGTGGTTTCTCTAATATATTTCGTATAATTAGCTGATTCATTTGTTCTAATTTTCCAAAAGTACCCCATGTTGATTTGCCTTCTGGAATTGGATTATTTCTTATCCAATTATTACTGTCGGATAAAGAATTAATTAAGGAAGTGAGAGTTTGTTAAGCCATAAATGTGTTCTTTACCACGCATAAGCATAAAAATCATCGCATGGATCGATTCTTCTGTCAATAGATCTCAATATTTCATTAGCTGCAAATATGCAATGTTCATTGAGACACGGAACTTCGTTTGCTAGGGGAAAGAAGAAAAAATACGTACTCAAAATTTAGTACCTCATATACATATATATATAATACATAAATATATAGATTAGGGTGGTCCTTAACGGTAGGGAGCAAATTTTTACATCACATTTGCTAAGCCTGAACCCCTATGTCGATGCTATTATAGTCGAAAATATCACACAGGCCCGGCCGCAAGGGGGGCCATGACGTTTTGACGAGTTCTGTGACCCAATGACGATTTTTCTTTATGTGCAAATTTGACTGGTTCTCAACTTTGAAGATAGTTACATAGACAATTAAAAATTTCAGTGTAAACACTTCTTGAGAGTTTACCATTTCTACTAATACATAATTGTCGTATCGAAATTATATCATATGGCAGCACTAATAGTAATTATCGATGAGTAGTTTTATTCTTCGTTTCATCACTATTTGTTTGATGAAATATATCCACAATTAAATGCAATATGCTGAATAATCTAAATCAGTGTCGGCCCACACTTACACATTCACATTTTGAGCATGTATTGAAAGCACAAAAGCACAAAAGCTCATCGATACATCCCCAAAAAATCTGCAAACGTAACACAAAGGTATAATTCACCACAAATACAAATTCTTTTAATACTGAGTCAACATTAACATCCAGATTGCGAAGAATATTGAGAGAAGCTAGCACATTGAGACGATCTTATTTCGTAGCTGATCTCAAATAAGTTTTTAGGCGGCGCATAGTTGAAAACGTTCTTTCATTCGCGGAGTCGTACATATAAGACACAAGTAATATTTAGGCAATAAAATTATAGTTTAAAAAACTAAAACCTCGCTATTGTAATTTCCATTCGTACTATCATCAGGTATGTAACTTGAGAATAGAAATCGCTGCATCTTTTAGGCGTATCAATATTACATAGTTACATCCCGAGCTAATAAAAGGGAGGTAAAAAACAAAACCGACTTCAATTCTCATATAAAAATTTAAGATTATCGTTAATTTATTCATGATCCGATGATCGGATTCAAACCAAATTAATATGGGACCACCTGTGAGGTAGTTACAAATACTCAAAAATTTAAATAAATTTTCAATATATTTATACCAGCGATGCGTTTTTCCAAAGTTAAACTTCACTTGTCCATATTTCTGGCACCTAATCATATAAAATGGATATATATTTCTCAAACAGTTCGCAACAAGATGGTTCATCAAAATTTGGTGTCTTGTCAGGGAAGAGACAAGGAAAATTAAACAAAATATGCCGGTATTTTAGTAATCGATCCTGCAAATGCTTCCGAGTGATTTGAATCTGTTGTGTTTCGTTACCTTGTATGAGCGAAACTAAACGATACCGAAACGTTGCTGTTGTTTGTTTGCGTTCTCTTGCTCGTTCTCTGATGATATTCTTTAAATTATTTCGCCAAACCATAACTAAATAGAGACGCAAAGGGTATTCTGGACCACATAAGGCAACATTTCTGTAGAAAACACGGAAATCCGAATTGTTCACAGTTGTTTTAATGGATAATCTAAGATTTCAATTACAATCTATCAAACTAATTGCCTTTGTTAAAAAAGGCGTGCATGCCTAAATCTAACAATTTTATAATATATTCCACTCGTGCATGGATTTTCACAATCTGGAAATCCTTATCACGATTCCAGAAAATTATAAAAATAACAAAAAATTATAAAATTATTAGCACCAATAGCTAACACCTCGAAAATACAAATAAGCCACAATACGCGCTAATGTAATTTTGTACGTTTGAAAAAATAAATACTAAGCATTCAAGTCTAAAAATATATATTTTTAGCACAAAATCGTTTCATCAAATCGTAACATCAAATTGTAAAGCGTTTAATTAAACAATTTTAATTTCAGTTTCTGTAAAATTTTCTTTATTAAGAGATATTTCGGCACCTGTTCCACAAAAAATATCTAATTGGGTATATGATTATTTAAATCTAAAGTATATATTAAAGGTGACTCAATATTTGCTTTAGAGATAAAATCGCGACAAATTTGTTGAAGCGAAAATTGTAAGCGGTTATACACAATGTGAATGCGAGCTTCTTTTGCTTGCATTTCTATGTCTATATTATTTATCAGTTTAAGCATATACGATAAAAAGTAAAAAAACAATTTTTTTAATTGCGGGTCCGAAAGAAATATTTATTAGATACTTGCCTTGAGTTACGCAAATATAGTACCGAAAACCAATCGATTATGCTTAAGGTGCTAGCTGCTTCCGAAAGGGCCGAAAATGGCACAATGCACACACATTTTCCATCACTGATACTAAGACACAATATTCCAGGAACTGTTGCTCAGATTATAAAAATAAAATAAAATAAAATATATATTAAAATATTTATTTTATTTTAAATATTTATTAGATACTTGCCTTGAGTTCAGTGTTGCCACAAAAAATATATCAAATTCATCAAAAACAAATGAAAAATCCTCAAAATCCCAACAAATTACTCAAAATTTTCTCATTTACTATTTACAGGTACTTAGCACAAAAATTAATTACATTCTCCAATTCAATTGGTACATTTGTTTTTGCGGTTCAAACAAAGTATCACCGTTATTTTTTATGCCTTGGTTTGCATATAATATTGCTGCAACTATATCAGTGCTCAATCTGGTCCTCAAGTCTGTCCTGAACATTTTTAAACTACTGAATATACGTTCTACTGAAGCATTAGAAAATGGCTATATAAGTAATGCAATAATTTGTTTAATTCGGAAACTTATATGAACCTGAATAATCCTTTAATTCAAAAACTTTTTTCCTATAAATTTCTGGATCTAATGAAGAATCAATATGAATATCCTTATGGTAAAACAATTCGTTATCGAGATTTTGCAAGTTCAAAATAAGTGGAAAATAGAACGATGGAATGAAAAAAATTATCGATAACATTTTGAATATTTAGCAACAAATGCAATAGTGCTTAAGAGCGAAAAATACAACACACGCGGCCCGACAAACCAAGCGAAATATCTCTTTGATTAAAGCTGTTTAAGATGTGTATGTGGTTTTTGAAGGTTTGACAAGCCATTTGAGGGAAATGTGAACAAAAATCAAAATTTTTTGGTTTCTGGCTACCATGTTGACGTTTGATCAAACCGCAACGGAATTTTTACCGAATGAGGACGCAGGAGAGAAAAATCGAAGAAAACCAAACCCTTTTACATTGTAAACCGGAAGAAAACTAAAATTCTTTGCTTGAACGAGTCATGTTTGCACGGTGTATGGCGAAATGGGAAAAGTAGGTTTGAAGAATGTTTGACAAGCCGCTTGTGTGGTGTATTTCGCCCTTTATAAAACTTCGGAAAGTTTTTTGTTCAAAAATTTGCAGTGCGATTTAACAACTATCTTGTGTAAAACATGGTTTCATTTGTTGTCTGCTAATATATCGAGGGAAAATTCCTCAAAATAAAAATCCTCAAAAAATACTCAAGCGCTCCCGAAATTCGTCACGTTTTGAGGAATTACTCACAAAGTGGCACCACTGCTTGAGTTACGCAAATATAGTGCCGAAAATCAGTCGATTATGCTTAAGGCTGCTTCCGAAAGGGCCGAAAATGGCACAATGCACACTCATTTTCCATCACTGATACTAAGACACAATATTCCAGGAACTGTTGCTCAGATTATAGTTGGGAACACGTAACATTTCGGTTAAAATAAATTACCTTAAACGAGAAAATGCAAAACAAATGTATTTTTTAAGTCCTACTAAAACCGGTAACATTTATTTGGTGCGCTTTTCTATTAAGTAATAAAAGAAAACACGGAACTTAATCATTATTAGGCGTTTATATGGGAAACAACTAATTGCTCTCATCTTGGAACCATTTTTGTGGCATATTTATACATCTTTTAGCCTCAAAGCAAAGTTTTAGAACAGAAGTTCATATCAATACATCCAAAATACATCCCCAGCAAAAAAAACCCGACGGCGCACAGTGTTTCGACTATATGGAGGCAGGTAGAAAAAAGTCATGGTGACAGTTGGTAAAAAAAACGCTTTGACTTAGAGAGGGAATAGTAAAAGTCATAAGTACCAAATTTTACATTATTTACTTACCCCCCTTCTTCACGAACGATACATTTCCAAAAAAATACGGGAACGGGCGCGATACCGTCTAATCAGTTTAGCTGCATTTGGCGCTGAACCCATTACAGAAAGTGTTTCTTTTTCAACTGTTATTAATTATCTAAATGTCATGGAATATTCAGGTGAAGGTATTTATCATTTATTTGGTATTTTCCTATTTTCTTACCAAAAAATTTACTTTGAAATGTAGATGCTAAAGATTATTAGTAAAAAAAAGTGTGAGTACCGGTCCGTCAGGTCTTGAAATTAGACTAATATTTTAGAGAATTTTATGTAGTTTTCGAATGTAATTTTTAATTTTCTTAGTTTTTGATTTTCAGCTTCTTTTTGCATAATTTAGCGAAAAGAATTTTTCGAACAATGAAAAAATCCCACCAGATATTGGGAAAAAAGCGAGTATTGACACCTAAGTCATTTTATTGTATAACCTTTGTTTTCTGAGAGTGGAAAGCAGGAAACAAAAATTACCCAAAATTCCATCGCATTTAATGACTGCGCCCACATTTTTTGTGAGTTTTGAACGTTATAGTAATCCAATCTTCCCCATATTTTATATTTAGGTTTTTCATGATTGTGTTGCTTATTGGCCGTTTAGTATAATTTAATAATTTATTTTTGAGCTATAGGCCGTATGTTAAGTAAAACATTAAATGTTTTTCTGCTTTATTTACTTTTTAGTTTTATTTTGGTCGATATTTCGCCTTCAGTCTGAAGGCATCTAAATAAATAAAGCAGAAAAACATTTAATGTTTTATTAACATACGGCCTAAAGCTCAAAAATAAATTATTAAATTTAGGTTTTTCTAATAAAATAAAGACTACAAACTAAATTTCATCGAAATCGGATGAGATTTAATGTTTCCGCCCACAAGAGT